GTTTCACCTTGTTGACCAGGAGGGTCTCGATCTCTTGACCTTGTGATCCACCCGCCTCGGTCTCCCAAAGTACTGGAATTATAGGCGTGAGCTACCGTGCCTGGCCAATCTTTTTTTTTTTTTTTTTTTTGAGTGTTACCAAGGCTGGAGTGCAGTGGTGTGATCATAGCTCATTGTAGCCTCAACCTCATGGGCTCAAGCGATCCTCCTACCTCAGCCTCCCAAGCAGCCGGGACTACAAGTGTGAGCCACCGTGCCCAGCTGATTTTTGTATTTTTTGTAGAGATGGGTTTTTGCCATGTTACCCAGTCTAGTCTCAAACTCCTAGGCTCAAAGGATCCTCCCATTTGGCCTTCCAAAGTGCTGGGATTACAGGCATGAGCCACCACGCCCAGCCAAGTATGGAGTCTTGAACAAGGAAATGCATATAGTCCTGCATTTTTTCCTAGTTAGATAATATCTAGACCATTGACAAGAAATCACCCAGAGGTCAAAAAAAAAGGTGACAAAAGACCCAGAAACCAAGACTTCGAATAATGACTGAAGACACAGTGAAAGTGTGTTTTGGAGAACAGAAGCCTCTTGGGATGTGCTGCCTGTCTTGGGAGGATGCTTATTGGAAGAGGAACTAGACAGTCCAGACAGAAGGCACAGCCAGGACCTCTGGGGAGGAGTTACAGGAAGACATATTTTGACTCATCATGAGGAATAAGTTTCTAATCATGAAACCATCCTCCATTGAAACATAATCTAAAGGAGCAAATGTCTCACCTTCAATGTTTATCCAATGCTGGGTGATCATCTCATAAGGACGTAGTGACAAGAATCTTGCATTTGCTGGGGGTGGGGATGTGGTTAAGGATAGTCTTCCAAAGTCCCTTTCAATTCCTCTATGATTCTATATGCTGTATTCCTTCCTGATCAATGTCCCTAGCCAGGGTGGCCAAGGCTGAGGGATTGGACGGACAGGAATGTTGAGGACAGGGTAAATGGAAAAATGAGGAGTTCCCAGTAAACTTGGGACACAGAAAACCTTGGGGCAGCTTCCTCCCGGAGGTTTCAGAACTGGAAGTGCTGGAGAAGTGTGATACCTTGTCCTGAGAGTCTTCCTCCTTGAAAGCAGCTTCTAAAGGCAGTGAATGGAGCAGAGCTAGGAGGCAATCACCCCAATAGCACCAACAGAGGCTGAAAACTCCTCAGGCTGTTTAACCCCAAGAATGATGCATCTGTTGGGGATGCCGTGGGGGCTGTAAGCAAGGCGTGAAACGGGGAACGAGGGAAGGTGAATATGGAGGAGAGGGTGAAGGAGGGCACTGGAAAGAGTAGGATCCCAGCAAAGGATGATTTGGCTGGATGGGAGCATGATAACAAGGGTGGGGGTGGGGCCAAGAAACAGCCACCAAGTGCGGATGCCTCTGTGCCTGCAGTCATTGCTTTCACATCAATGTGGACCAAGAGAGGAAACGCCCACTTCTGGAAGAAAAAGCACAAAGAAGAAACTTGGAGGGGAAATTGACCAACATCTACACAAGGGTTTCTTAAAGGAAGAGGCCCTCAGACAGGACAGAGTTGAGGGAAAGGACAGGGGTTATGAGAGCCTGCAAGAGTGGCAGCCTGGTAGAGTAGAGGAAACATTAAACATGGAGTCAAAAGACCTGAGTTCAAGTCTCGGCTGTGCCACTGGTTAGCTGTGGGATCCTTGGTAAGTTGGCCTCACAGACCTCCTACATAAAAATTGGGGGTTAGACTAGATGATCTCTGAAGTCCTCTCTAGCCTAATAATTTATGAGCTGGCCAGGTGTAGTGGCTCACACCCATAATCTAAGCACTTTGAAGGCCAATGAGGGTGGATCATCTGAGGTTGGGAGTTCAAGACCAGCCTGACCAACATGGTGAAAGCTGTCTTTAAAATATATATATATATATATATATATATATATATACACACACACACATACATACATATATAGAAAAAATAATTTATGAGCCAACCAAGTTAATTTATAGATAGAACATCATTATTCTTGAGTCAGAAAATGACTCTGTAACGATGTGCTTTTCTTGTTGATTTCACTTTTTTTTTCTTTTAGAGACAGGGTCTTCCTGTGTTGCCCAGGCTGGTATCCAACTTCTGTCCTCAAGCGATCTTCCTGCCTCAGCCTTCCAAAGTTGATTTCATTTTGTCTTCCAGTATTGTTTTACTGTTGTTCCCTTTGAAAACTTCTAACTTATCTTTTCTGAACTTGAGCTGAGAAGGGAAGGGGTTTTGCCCCTGCTAGGCAAAAGGATGGTGGCAAGTAGTTTGACCAAGTGCTTTGATTTGCCAGGACTTAGGGGTTTCCCAAGTCAAGGGGCTTTCAGTCCTGGGCAGACTGGAATGGTTGATCACCCTAGTGGTGAGGAAGATGAAGGTTTGGAGGTGGCTTGGAGGAGAGGTTGCTGGGAGAGCGCTTCTCCTGTTCTCTGTGGGTCAGGGGTTTCCCTTAACAGCCTGATGACTTTGTATGGTGGTTTCATTACAAGTTGTGAGCCCCTTATTGGGGGTATAGGGAGGAGAAGTGAGGGCAGCCTGTAAACTAGTCACGGCCCCAGTTGACACAGTTGTTGCCGGGAAAGAAGCTGAAATGCTTGACTAGCACTGATGCTGTGGGGGATTTTCCCTATCTTCAAAAACACAGAAAAGACCCAGTGGAAAAAAAAAAAGTGATGAGTTGTGAGGCAGGTTGCAGGCCCTAGCCGCCCCAGGAGACGATGCGCAGCTCATTTGCTTAAATTTGCAGCTGACGGCTGCCACCTCTCTAGAGGCACCTGGTGGGGAGGCTGTCGACATCAGACAGTGACCAGTCTGGTGATTCACGGCCGGCGCAGCCATGAACTACCCACTGATGCTGGAAATGGATCTCGAGAAACTGGAGAGCCTGGTGAGTAGACACAGGTAGCTTCCTGCCACCCGGGCCCTGCCTGGAATTCTAATATCTTGGGAGAGCTTGGGAATCCCCTCCCACTGTGGATCTGTGGACTGTAGACAGGTCGATCAGCTCCTGCCCTTTAAGAGTTTATTTTCCATTCTTTGGAAGAAGCAGATAAGGAGAGCTACTGCCCTTGGTAGACATCCTTTAGAGGAACCGGGAAGACACGGATTCAGACCCCACATCCTCCCTGAGTTGCTATGTGACTGGGAACAGGATACTTCACCTCTCCATTCTTTCTCTCCTCTTCTCTTAGGGTCAGAATATGGGACTAGACAGGAAAGAACTTTGGGGGTTTTCTTACCGAAAGGAGGCTGGCATTGCTAATCAGTCAATCAACGCATAGCTGTTCATCTCTCCCCATGTGATTACACCATCAGGGAACTACACTTTGGGTGGAAAAGTTGAGGATCTGGGCCCTCAAATAGCTTCCACTTTGGCCAGAGAAAAAAACACTCACTGGAAGCTATTAGACAACAAGTATATGCTAAAAGGAGGAAGTGTGAGACCAGATGGTAGCAAGGAAGAGGATCCCAGCAGGCTGGAGTCAGGGAGCGCTTGAGAAAACCGTTAATCCAAAAAATGTCTTAGAACTTGTAGAATCTCTAGAGATAAGATATTCTTGGAAAGGTTTCTTGGGTGGGCTAAGAAAATGGTCCCCAGCACCACACGGCCGCCACTCAAGTCTCTCCACTGAAGCAGAGTGAGGTAGTTGACTTGGTTGTCACTGGACTTCCAAAAGTCACGCGTGTGTGTGGAGCAGCTCAACCAGAGCAACACAGGGCTCCTTGTGAGCCATCAGCAGAGGCTGGTTGTAAGGTTTCTTAGAAACTTCTTCATGGTCTTTTCTCCCCCTGGGGAAAGGACTTATCTCAGAGCTGCATTCTGGGTTAGATCATGAAGGAACCAAACCCTGGCTCCTACCAACTCTCCTGGCCCAAACTTACCCTGAGATGTTGTCTGACTCCCTCCTGCTCCCCCAGCTGGAGTGGAACACCAACCGTGTTCCCAGACTTGCTTGGAGAAGCCTGCCTCTCACTTGCCCACATCCCAAGGCTGGGAAGTGTAAGACACGGGGAGAAGTAAGCAGAAGGGCTGACTACCCAAAGCCTGGCCTCTCGGATCCAAACCGCAGGTGGAATCAGAGCCGGACCATTCATCTAATCAGAACCTGATGCATAATTTGCGGGACCCAATGCAAAATGAAAACGTGGGGCCCCTTGTTGAAAAATTGTTAAAAAGATCAAGAAGGCAACAGCAGAGCACTAAACCAAGTGGGGGGTCCTGCTAGGTGCAGGCCCTGTGTGACTGATTGCACAAACTGCACACCCATGAGGCTGCCCTGAGCCTAATCGCAGAATCTGGGCAATACTGCAAATCAGACTAAAACCCATGGCCCCAAAGGAGCAATGTGCTCCCACCCTGGCCCCCAGACACAGTAGCTGGCCTTACCTGATTAGGTTACTGGGTGTCTTCCTCTCCTGCAGCTTCAAACTGACCACGAACCCTGACCCAGTTGGATATCTTAGTAACCAACTGGAGACCTGGCTGGTCTTGGCTTCTGAGAAACCTAAGAGTTTCCCCTAACTGCATGCCTCACCTCACTGAGTGACCTACTAGAGACAGGTGGTGGCAGGGGGCAGGGGCAGGGGCAGCAGGTTATGTCCGAAGAAAACCTACATCTGGGGGAAAGAGACCTAGTGACATGTTTCATGTCACACCTCAAATGAGTGATCCTCAGGCAGGCATTCAAATGTCTGGATCCCTCACTCAGGTCTAGCCAGGAGCCCAGGAGTTCTAGAACCATCTGAACTGAGCTCCGGAGCTCTTCAACTAGCCACCACTGCCTCGTCCTCACTTCACGGACCTCCTACATACTCTGTCTCAGGGTCATTGCCCTCTCAGAACACAGACCCTCTTCTCCACCCCACCCACTCACTGATGGGCCGTGAGCAGCCTTGGCAGACTGTCCCTCAGTGTCACAGCACAAAAACCTTAGGGATAGCAGTACAGGCAAGAGAATATTGAATGTAGTAGCTTCTCAATAACTATTTATTGATCTGTGATTCGGTAACAGCCTTAGCTCACCATTTCCCTCTGGAGTCAGTGCAGATTCTTCACTATTTCTTCTGCTTCCTATTCTCCTCCTTGTCCTTGCCCATACCTAACATTGGTTCACATTCCTTGAACACTGGGTTTTCCATTTTAATGTTGGGTTAAGAACTGGGGGTTTTTGATTATACAAACTTGCCAGAAAAAAAAAAAAAAAGAAACTGGGAGTGCCTGGCCATAAGCCAGGTTCGTCATTCCGTATTCTATTTGTCCTCTAGAACTCGAAGACCAACTCTAGCTGCTTACAATGTCCACTTCTTCAAGGCAGGGGCCGGGGGTGCTGGAGAAAAGGGGCTGCTAATTCTCATGAATGAATGGTCCAAATAGGAGAAAATCTAGATGGCTAAGAACTGGGAACAAGAAGATTCCAGGTTCTGGGCATTCCAGGGACCCATCCTGCTGGAAAGGCAGATCCAGGCAGACCTAGATCAGATCCTGTCTATGGGAACCTTGATCTGAGAGCCTCCCCCCAACAGAACCAGGGCCTGAGCTGGGGCACCCACAGAGCCTGGTCATAAAGTACACCTCCAGTCCCACCCTGCATACCAGCCAGGAGGGGACACTGCTCTAGCACAGGGTGAGGCTGGCCCAAGCCCCAGAGCTGGCTTTATGCCCCCTCTCCATAGATGATCACCACACACCATGACTTCAGTGTGACCGAGCGTCACAGGCTACACAGCCCGTCCACGTGGACCATCTCATTCACCATGGAGGTGTGAAGAAGAGGAACCAAAACCAGCTCAGGCTGTTTCTGGGCTTCATCCGGGAGGAAGGGAGGTTCTCCACCCCGCCAACCAGGTCAAAAGTCCCAGAGGAACCCCAGTGGAGGAGGCCCCAACTGGGGGTGTTGTTGGAGGGGTCAGAGATGAGGGAGAGCCCCAAGGCCACGCTGAGGATGAGTCAGGGTCGAAGTGAATCTGGTTCAGGCATACAGGCTGCCGAGTCTCTGTCAGGAGTTCTTGCCTTCCCTAGGGATGCAGGTGGCAGCTGATCCCAGTCCTTTGGCTGAACAGCATAGGCAATGGCCACGTATGTGGACCTGAGAATCAGGACACAAGAATGAGAATTCTTCCAGGAGTGCTGGGGCAAAATACTTCCTACCCAGGAGATGGTTTCAAGAGGCTGCCACACACACCTGGGAGGCCTGTCTACCTATGTCTTGGACTGTGTGACTCTGTACCTAAAGGACAAACAGGCGCTGGGGTGCCAGGTGGGGACCCTTTAACCCTGAAGACTTGCTGCAGAGGTTTGGAGTAGCTTAACCTCTCCCGTTAAAACCACACCCAGAGCAGTACCTGCTTTTAACGGCCAAAACTCGTGGGTAGAGATGGAAGAGGAATCTGGCAGGCTTGTTGAAGGCAGTGGGTGGGGAAAGGGAGGTGTGACAAATGGCAAGCCAGTCTTAGATGGTCTTTAGAGGCTGCGGGCCTTCTGAAGAAAGAGGGGGTAAGGGGTACAAACCTACACCTTCACACAGCCCAGTCTCCTTCCTCCAGACCCCATACCCCTTAGGCTACTGAAAGCTGGAATGAGAGATGCCCTGGCCGGCCCTACTCACAGCTCCTGATTCTCAGCTGGGAATATCCACACAGGCCCATAAAAGGAGATGGAGCTTGTGTGCTCCCCCTGGTCAGAGCAATGACTGGCATCTGTGTGCAGACAACTCACTCGGCCAGCATGACTCAGGCCTAGGAGTCCTGGGGTTCAGCCTGAGAGAGCCATGCATGCAGGCAGCCCTGCCCCTCCTCAGGGCTGAGAAGCAAGGTCAGGCTGGGGCATTCATTGGTGGCAGGATGGACTAGAAAAGCAAAGGCTCCGGCTACTGAGCTGGATGGAGATCACGCTGAGAACCAGCTCAGCCCCAGGCAGGACAGGACAGACAGAAAATCTGGGAGTGGGAGCGAGGGGCATTTGAAGGCAGAGTCCATCCTCCTTCTTCCCAGGGCAGGAATCTCCTCCCACACACTTGGGCTCAAACGTTCCTCTCCTTCCCAAGGATCCCATCTCGTTGCGGGACGGTTCTGCCTGTAGCAAGTTCTCCCTTTTTTGACTGAATCACCACCCCCCAGCTTCTGCCCAGTCCTTACTGCCCCGGAAGCTCACAGCATGAGTCCATCGCTGCCCTCATGCCCACAGGTCCTCTCCCAATCCTTGACATCAGCCCTCATGGACTCAAGTCTTCCCTGTTCTAGACACGACACCCCTAGTACCTAAAAACTTCCTCCACAGGCAGGGTTTTCCAAGCCCCTCACCGAAGTGGTCATCCTTGTCCAGACCAACCAAACTGGGCTGGTGTCAGCTGCCCACTTACAGGCTTCTGTTCATCTAGATGAAGGTAACATTGGCCCTTCTGGTGGCCACATCACCCCCATTACTCATCTTAAGCTTATAGGCAACAAACTCCCAAGTCTTTCTCACGAACTGCCGTTACCTGGTCTTCCCTAACTTATCCCTGGATGGGTAATGTCCGAAACCTGAGTCCTGGTTTGTATATTTTTCCCCATGCAATTTCATCTGGTTAGGTTGGGCTTGAAAAGAACTCTGTGTTGCCCGAGTGTGCCCCCAAAGTTGGGTTGAGAGTGCTGAAAAGGAGGGGACCCAGGATAGAACCCTGAGGCATGCTAGACACCCCTGCCCAATGCACCCGCTGACATAGAATTCCCATTAGCAAATGTGAGCTGAGCTTCACGATGGCCAGCCCTGGGCAGTGGGGCAGCCTCATTTGGAGAAGTCAGGTGGGGCTCGGAGAACTTAATTATCCAGAGAGGAGCCTGCGCCCTACAGTGGAGGAAGGAGAAGAGTAACATTATGGGTCCCACTGCAGGCCAAGCGCTTTGCATCTCTTTACACCCCCTCCTGCCCCTATGCCCCTCAATACTAGGACACTCTTACAGCCCCTGTTCCTCCCCAGTGCTCACAGCAATTTTCTAACTAGATTCTAGCTCCCCACTCAGCCTCATTTGGTCATTGTGTTTCTTCCCTTCTTGGGGGCATGAGGCCCTTGGGCTATGACCCGGCTGTTGTCTGCTGTGTGACTCTCGATGCCACATGCTGGTGTGGCCCATCTTGGCACCTGTGTCTATGCAAGGTGTGTGTTGCTGTCAGAGTGTGTGCATGAGGGCCTCGGGTTTCTACGGTTTTTCATGTCAAAGAATGGGAACACTGCTCATGCAAATGGCCCGCCCTGTGCTCCCTGTGGGCGTGGGTCTCGGAGGGCTTCCTTCAGCACCACATGCCCCACGGTATTCAGGATTCCTGATTCCTCAACTTCCCAAGAGGCCAGAGCCAACCTTGCTTTACTGCCTCTCTCCATAGTTTTGGGGAGACTGGGGGAGCTAGAAATCTTGTGCGTGGGAAGTGGCTTTAACATGTGCCACTCCCGAACCCCCAAAAATGTCTGTTTGACACCTCCTGCTGAGATGTGCTGTTGGTTCCCAGCACCCCTCAAACCAGCTTCCTCCCATCTTCTCCTCTCTGAACACCGCCAAACAAATGCCTCTTGGCAAGTAGGAAGAGACAGGCTCCTCCCACCCCCTCTAAACCTGGTTTTCACTGCATTGACTTTATTTTTTTATTTTGATTTTTTTGAGACAGAATCTCTTTCTGTCACCCAGGCTGGAGTGCAGTGGCACGATTTCAGGTCACTGCAACCTCCACCTCCCAGGTTCAAGCGATTCTCCTGCCTCAGCCTCCCAAGTAGCTGGGGTTACAGGCATGCGTCACCACACCCAGCTAATTTTTGTATTTTTAGTAGAGATGGGATTTCACCATGTTGGTCAGTCTGGTCTCAAACTCCTGACCTCATGATCGGCCCACCTTAGCCTCCCAAAGTGCTGGGATTACAGGTGTGAGCCACTGCGCCCGGCCTGCATTGACTTTAGATGAGCAATAACCCAGTCAGTTTGGAGGGTTTGGAGGGCAAGAACTTGCGTGGAGGGCGAGCCCAGAAACCCAGGGCTTTCTGGGTCAGATAGGCTGGCTGGACCTAAGCCTTCCCCCAGGCACAGCCAAGGTAGGTGGAGTCCAGCCTGCTGTCCACCCCAGGCCCTGCTTCTCTCCTCCCTCTGTCTGAAAGGCTTGGCTCTGCATGAAAACTGCTGAATTCCACTATTAGTCAAGCAGGTGTGCTCAACGACAATATTGGAAGTAGCTCCCAATAGGGAGAGAGACCACAAGATAGGATCTAGAATCCAGGCCGTCAAGATTACTGGGAGAAGGCAGAATGCAGAAAGTTACAGAGTGAGTCCCTGAGAAGGCACCTACCTAAGTCTCGGTTAGAAAGGCTCCTGGCCCTCTCTGGGAAACTGCTTTCAGAGTAGGTCAACACACATCTGTCCTACGTAAAACACGTGGCCTTGGGAGGGCGACGCAGAAGGTCTAGAAAGTGGTCATTCCCAACCCTGAGTACTGTAATAAATGCACATGCATCATAAGGAGAAGAGAGAATTTCAAGTGGGGAGCCGGGAAGGATGTAGGAAGATGGGATTGAATTCAGCTTTGGAGGAAGGGTAGAGATTAGATAGGCAAACTTGGGCAGAAAGCCTGGTTAGGCAGAAGGAAAAGGCCAAGCAGAGGTTTGGAGACAGGAGTGTGTTGGGGTGTTAGGGACAGGCTTGGGGGTGGCCTAGAGCAATAATATATTAATAGAAGACAAAGTTTGAAAGGTCAGAGGAATATACATTTGGGAGGAGCATAAAGGCTCTGTTGGGAGGTTAGACCTCGTCCCACAGGTCCATGGTTTTCAAATGAAAAGTAGAACCATTTTTTTCAACAAAAGCTTACTTGTGAAACACCACACAAGTCAAAAGTGGAGAGCTCTAGTTTAAAGGCAACGAGGGGAGCCACGAGCCCCAACACCACTCCCCACCCCAAGGAACCCTGCGACACACACACTGTCATGGGTACTCTAAGGAAAATCCACAGAGCTGGACCCTGTTGGCACACACCTGCAGTTCCAGCTACCCAGGAGGCTGAGGCAGGAGGCTCACTTGAGCCCAAGAGGTTGAGGCTGTAGTGTGCTGTGACCACACCTATTAACAGCCACTGCTCTCCAGCCTGGGCAACATAGCAAGACACTATTGATCCAGAAACAAAAGCAAAGGTGTGTGTTTGGGGGAGAAATACAGACCTTTGCTTTTGTTTGTGATATTCTGCAATTAGTTCTAAAATTTACTTTATTTTTTTAATTGTTTTGTAGAGATGGGGTCTTGCTATGTTGCCCAGGTTGGTCTTGAACTCCTGGCTTCAAGCACTCCCCTCACCTAAGCCTCCCAAAGTGCTAGAATTACAGACATGACCACTGTGCCCAGCAGTTCTGAAATTCAGCAATGTGTGAATGGCACTAAGTTTGACTTACTCCAATCTTTTTTTTGAGACTGGGTCTTGCTCTGTTGCCCAGGCTAGAGCATAGTGGCACGATCATAGTTCACTACAGCCCCAAATTCCTTGGCTCCTGAAAGGGGGGCAGTGTTAAGCCACCCAGAGCCTGGGGGAGAGAGTACCCCATCCCATCCTCTGCCTCCCTGGGGCTCATCATTTATAGAACTGCCTTTTTGAACCCATATAGGTTGATTGTAACTGGTTTTGAATTGCCTGGGGAGGGGCTTGGGTAAGGAGGGTGGGAAGAACAGAACTGGGAAGTGAGGAGGAACAGGTGCAGGGGACAACTGTGAGTGAAAGGTGTGAAAACAGGCACATGTCTTCCTTTGTGGTTAGCTGGGTAAACAACCTGGGTGCTGGGGTGATGGGGGGGGCGTGATGGGGAGAGGAGGAGGAGGAGAATGGGGAGGAGGGAACTTCCGGAGACATCATGGGCACACCCCTGTACTTGGAGCAGGCTCTCTCCTTCTCTCCTGCCGGTCTCTCCGTGTCTCCCTCACTTTTCTCCTGCCTCTCTCTGCCTCTGGGTTTTCAGCTTCTGAGTGCTCCTAGCTGCAGGGAGGTTGCCAGTAATGGGAAGCAGGGAGCCTGCATCTGCTGCCTCTAGAAGGAAGCCCAGGTAGAGTTGCTCAGTGGGAAGTACTGGCTTTGGAAGTAGCTAAACATCAGTCCACACAAACCTGATCTTTAGCAAGATACATCTGTGAAACACGAATAATATTACATACCTTGGGTGGGCTGTGCATACTGAACCAGATGGGAGGCTATTACTACCATTTCAGTGATAAGGGAGACAGTCAGGAACAGGGAGACCCATGAAGAGGGAGCCCACCCCCGCCGGCCCCAGACCCCAGCACGATGCTAAGTTGCTAAGAACTGGAACAGATGGCTCCTTGTACCAACCAGGTCCATTCCCCAAATTGAAGTCCTGCGACTCCAGCCCCAAAGGCCACAGGCTTCCGTACATGAGAACCCAAAACACAAGCTGACTTACGGGGTAAGCCCTTCAGCACTTACAAAGCGCGGCCACTCCATACTCCCCCCTTCATCTGCACTACGACTCTAAAGAATGCTTCCCTCTGATAGGCAAAAAAAATTGAAGCTGGAAAAGACAAAGTGATTTGTTCAGAATTGAAATTTGAAACTTGAGGCTGGGCGGGTGGCTCACGCCTGTAATCCCAGCACTTTGGGAGGCTGAGGTGGGCGGATCTCAGGAGTTTGAGACCAGCCTGACCAACACGGAGAAACCCCGTCCCTATGAAAAATAAAAAATTAGCTGGGCATGGTGGTGCATGCATGTAATCCCAGCTACTTGTG